TATTCGGCAAAATAATAAAGTCAGATTCATGAAACTTGGCAGTCATGTGTCCAATTATAGGTGAAATATATTTCTGAAGTTTTAGAAGAATTGCTTGACAGGTTCGGGTACCTTCCATACAACTCCAGAAGCTAATTTTAAATATTTGGCAAAATAATAAAGTTAGATTCATGAAACTTGGCAGTTGCGTGTCCGATTGTAGATCAGATATATTTGTGAAGTTTTAGTGGAATTGCTTGAGAGGTTCGGATACTTGCCATACAACTCCAAAAGCTTATTTTAAATATTTGCAAAAATAATAAAGTCAGATTCATGAAAATTGGCAGTTGTATGTCGAGTTATAGGTCAGATATATTTCTGAAGTTTTGGTGGGATTGCTTGGCAGGTTCGAGTAGCTCCCATACAAGTCTAAAAGCTTATTCTTAATATTTGGAAAAATAATAAAGTCAGATTCATGAAACTTGGCAGTTGTGTGTCCGATTGTAGATCAGATATATTTGTGAGGTTTTAGTGGAATTGCTTGACAGGTTCGGGTACTTGCCATACAACTCCAAAAGCTTATTTTAAATATTTGGAAAAATAATAAAGTCAGATTCATGAAACTTGGCACTTGTATGTCGAGTTACAGGTCAGATATATTTCTGAAGTTTTGATGGAATTGCTTGACAGGTTCGATTAGATACCATACAAGCCTAAAAGCTTATTGTTAATATTTGGAAAAATAATAAAGTCAGATTCATGAAACTTGGCAGTAGGATGTCCAATTATAGGTCAGACATATCCGTGAAGTTTCTATAGAATGACTTCACGGGTTTGTGTAATTGCTACACAATAACGAAAGGTGCAGGGTATAATTCAATCGGTTTATACCGACTGAAACGTTTTTACTTGTTTTTAATTTCAATTTGCATCATTTATTGTTAGCTTTCATTAATAGAAATTAAAAAACTTGACGTTTCGCAAATATGTATATGCTGCCAAAAATGCGACTTTTACAAACTTGGATAGGCGAAAACTGAAAATATTCGAGGGGGCGGAGTTGGAAATTTTTTTTTGTTATAACAAATTATAATCTGCACATTCTCTTCATTATAATTTAGTTTTAGTAATAAAGAACAAAAAGTAATGAAATGAAAGATCTCTGACACTGACAAATATTCAAATGTAAAATGAAAAAAGTAAATAGAAAAGGAGTAACCTAATTGTGAAGTCTATAAAACTGCTTTTCAGCACTTTTCCAAAAAATTTTGGAAAAATGTGGTTATTAATTTCACGTCATGTTTAAAAAACTTCTGCACCATTGAAGATAGAAACCCGAAATTTTATATACACTAAAAACTAATTTTTGTAGAACAAAATTTTTATCTATCTCCGCCACCAGTAAAAGTTATACCCCTTCCCCAAACCCTAAAAATGCCATTTTTCAACTATTCATTGTAGTAGAACCATATGCATTTTTCAAATTTTGCAAACGCTGAAAAGCAGTTTGTTGCATCTTCTATCGTGGCATATTATACCTGAACTTAAAAAAAAAAATGGCCGTGAAAATATACTGTTATCTAAAATCCGTTTTTCCACATTTTTTATGTTCTTTTTCTCCAAAACTCCAGGTTGTTAGAGCATGAAATTTTAACAGCTTTCAGACGTTAACAAACAGTTCTCAAGTTATTGCCTCTTGAAATTTGTAAAATTTGAATATTTGGCACCTTATATTGCAAAACCACAAGTTTTTCAAATTTCTATAAGCGCAGAAAGATACCGGTTAATTATATGCCATTAAGATATATAATTATTTTCTTAATTCACACAACTAACCCTTAAAATCGAGCATTATGTTAACCCCTCTTTAAATTAACTTTATTTGTTTCTAAAAATTAATAAACCGCTCATCCTAAATATATGTAATTCTACAAATAATTTCATATATGGACGAAAATAATGACCGACCGCAATGTGTATACGATAGGTAGGTTATGTGATATCAACAAATTTAGCATATCGAGTTTTCGCTGGGAACGCACTTCTCCATGGTAGGGAAGTGTAAATAAACCATTTTTAGTAACCTGTCGTGTACGCTTGTATCTCAAGTTCGGCTCAACCGATTTCGATGAAATTTTATATGTAAGTTTATTTCGACTATGGCACGGATTTATCAATTTTTGGAATATATCAAACCTCAGAACTGCACTTTTAAGCGGGCCTGTTTACATTTTTGATCATTATATTTTGATTTTGAAGAAAATATTCAACCGATTTACATGCCCGCGAAGCCTCCTAACTTTTGGAAGAAATCAGGCACCAGTAACTAAATGTTTACTACCAGCCAAATATACATTTTTGCGTATATATAAAGACAAATAATCAACCGATTTCATTGGAATTTAATATTTAAATTCTTCGTATTAAAACATTGAACCTATACATTTTATTGAAAGATCAGGGCTCGGAAACTGATTTGAGGGCCGATGTTACATTTTTCACCATATCTACGGAACGAATTGATTGATTTTCTTGAAATTCGATATTTGAGTTCTGGTTGCTACCGAAACTAACTGACAAGCATTTCAGGGAATTCGGGTGGTGTGCGAAACTCTACTAAGAGCCAAATTTACATTAATAGTGTAGTAGGTACACATAGATTGTTTTTAAAAGCAGTATTTTCACTCGCTGAAGTAAAAAATGCTACAATATAAACCATTGGTTTGACTTAACTTTATTTAAAGTGTCCTTCATTGTTGTAAAATCTAAATCGTCTTTATATTTATTCTCAAGGCGCAGCATTCTGTGTAGCGGCTCGTGCATACCAGAATTAGTCTTATGAAAGGCTACAACAAAAAGATTCGACGTGCCAGATCTCACATTAATGTTAATAACTTTGCTCAAAATGTCGTCCATATGAGCTCCGATATTTTCTCAAAGGTCAATAAGCTTTAATCTACATTCATAAAGAGGCAAAGCAAATCTAAATAAATTTTTTAAATTGCTTCAATTCCAACTCATACCGTATGGACACACGGGTCTTGTTCTTCTTCCATTAGTTGGATTTTCATACTACGTTTTGTCCCTCCTTCCCATATACTTAATTTGTAGTTTTTTAGTTCTGAAATTTCTGTTTTCTTTTTTGAATCCAAAATTTTTTGAGGTGAACATTTGAATCTACTAACACAAGGAAAAATTTTTTTGTTTTTTAATTTTATTTTTATCATTTATTCATTGGATTTTGAATGATTCAGATCTAACTAAATTGCAATACCAAACGGAAAAACAGCTATTTGTAACAATTATTTGTAAAGAATTTTTGATTACGAAGCTAACAACGTAGATGGCTTTTATAAGCCCAATTTGCAATATCTTTTTTTATAACAATATACAGAATAATATAAAATAGAAATTGTGTTTTGGAATACATTATTCATAAAAAATTTTAAAATACACACAAGTGGGATCAGTATAATCACTATTTCAATAAATCTGTTAAAATCATAATTTACTATTTTTAGATCTATTGTAAACTCTTTGTTTAAACTAATATATGTAAAAAAAGTACTAAAATCATAAAATGTACTTGCAAGTGTCAACTTGCTTTTTTTTCAGCACCACAGCACTTCATTTCAGTTTCACTTAAATTGACAATACGATAAGCTCTTAGGTTTTTAATATTCCAGTGCAAAAAGCCATAAAGTTAAGATCGCTAAAAAAACTAAGCCAAAAAAATTAAGATCGCCAAAAAAAAGTAAGTGAGGCAAAGTTTTCGTTAAGAATAAAAAAAGGGTAAAATTACGGTTGATACTGAATATTGAAGAAAAGTGCTTTTGTTTCTTATTTGCTTAATTTGTTGATAATTTAAAATAATAAGAAGTGAGAATCGTAAAAATAAAAGCATTAAATTTTGTAAACGTAAGATAAAAATTCAATAGTAAATAAAGTTGGGTCAAACCAATGGTTTGTATTAATAATTGAAATTGATTATAAAGAGCTACATTTTCCATTAATTTTCTAAATAATGGTCTACATATATGCAATAGTGGTCAAAAGTTTTAACATTGTAAAGATAAAGTTTAAAACAGGGCATTATCAAATTTGATAGTTAGTTCAAGTAGCATTAAAATAAAAGTTTTTGTAAAAAGAAAAATTTTTTTCATACATGTTCATTTACGTTTCAACCTGATACCTGAAAATAACGGATTATTTTCTTAGTATACCCACGCGAAAATCGCCTGATGCCAAGATTGTGGGTGCTAGAAAGAGATAGCTGCACCATAAAATTTTATGTAATATAGTAGCATACCTACTTGTAGTAATATAAAAGAAAAAAAAACACTAAAGAAGCTAAAAATTGCATTTTTGTTAAAGAAGAAAAAATTTATTTTTAACTGTTGATATCATTCAGCATAATTGTTTTTCTAATTCAAAATAAATTGTGAGAATGGATTGAAATTATTTACAAAAAAAGTGTTTTTCTGTTGCATAGTAAGAAATTATAGTAAAATGTAAATAGGAAAATAAGAGCGAAAAAATCAAAAATTGTAATAAGAAAAAAAAAATCTGATGTAGCCAGCACATAACTGACCGCAATCGGTATTGTCTAGATTAGTAAAAGTGTTACAGAATATAAAAAAATTTCTGTTAATACTTTTTTCCACTTTTTAGAACATTAGTAAGTTTATAATTAACATACCTAGAAAAATGTCAATTTGGCTCTTAGTAGAGTTTTTCTTTGTGCCACCAGAATTCCCTGAAATACTCGTCAGTTGGTTTCGGTAACAACCAGAGCTCAAGTATTAAATTTCAAGAAATTCCAATAATTCGTTCCGTAGATATGGTAAAAAATGTAAAATCGGCCCGCAGATCTGTTTTCGAACCCTGATCTTTCCAAAAAATTTATTTAATACGAAGAATTTAAATATTAAATTCCAATGAAATCGGTTGATTATTTGTCTTTATATATGTACGCAAACATGTATATTTGGCTGGTAGTAAACATCTAGTTACTGATGCCTGATTTGTTCCAAAAGTTAGGAGGATCTAGATAAATATGAATTTAATAAATTGATTTTTATTCTATAAAAATAATTAGTAAAGTCTATGAAAAGTTTTGGTAAAAATAAAAATCTTTTTTCTTTTTGAAAAAAATAATTTTCGTAAAATTTGAAATATTTTAACCACATAATGAAATAACATTGAACTAATGCCATATATCTATAAGGCCACCAAGCTCAGAGAGCAAACCAAAAATAAATTCCAAATTTTCATGGAGTGCTAGAATTTATAGATAGAATGCTAAAAATAGAAGGGGTGCTAGAATTTATTTGTGTGAAGGAAATTGATCAATATTTTTAGCCCTACTGATTCTATATATTTTTTTTAAATTTAATTTTTAAATTTCAAAAAAATCGATTAGTAAATTCCATTTGAAAAATGCATTAAAAAAAATATTGCAATTTTTAGTGCAGACAACCTTTCTTGTCTTCGAAATGGAGGGGTACTGAATTACAGAGTAAAATTTTTGAATAAAAAATTTAATTTAAAAAGAAATTTAAAAGAAAAGATTATAATAATCTAGATGGCTTTTAAAACCCTACTAAATAAAGTCAGTGTCACAAAGAATACTCAAAAATAAAAAAAAAATAAAAAAATATTTAAATCGACATAGTTCAAAAAGAAAACATTAAGAATATTATTTTTGTAATTTTTTCCGATTAAAAATTTCGGAAAATACTTTCGGCTTGGTGACCTGATAGACATATATGGCATTAACTATAAGAATTTAGTATTATAATAATTCAATATCGTATTTTGAACTATTGTTATATTCTGTGTAATTCACTACTATGATCTGAATTTATTTAAATCAAAAAAAACTTTATCAACACGATAAAAAAAGATCTAATGTGGTCAACACAATGTGTATTGTCTAGTTAAGTAAAAGTGTTGCAAAAATTTCTGTTAAACACTTCTTTCCAATTTTTAGGTCATTAGAAAGCTTATAGTTAACATACCTAGAAAAATGTAAATTTGGCTCTTAGTAAAGTTTCGCTTTGTGCCGCCTGAATTCCCTGAAATGCTCACCAGTTAGTTTCGGTAATAACCAGAACTAAAATATCGAGTTCCAAGAAATTCAATCAATTCGTTCCGTAGAAATGGTAAAAAATATACACACACCGACAAACAGATCGACAGACCGACAGGTTACTAAAAATGGTTTATTTACATTTCTCTACCATGGAGAAGTGCGTTCCCACCGAAAACTCGATATAGAAACAGCCATCACATAACTTACCTCTTGTATACACAATACGATCGGTAAAAAAAATAAATAATAAAATAATTTTACATTTTAATGCATACTTATAATAATATAAGTAAGTTAAATATATATAATTTGATACATACTTATAAGTTTCTAATTTAAAACCTAGATATAATTTTTGATCTAAGTAGTTAATTTGAACTTATGCTATTTTTTATTATTAAATTTTTATTTCGGTTGTGAGTATTTAATTTTAAAATAAAAATTTTTATTAAATAATTTCAAAATTTTCGAATTTCAAATATTAATTAAACAAATTTTAATAACATCATAATTATAATGAAATTAATTTTTGCACTATTTGGAATCTGCAGTAATGTAAGTAAGTCATTTTCATTCATTATTTTATTATATGGAAGATCTTAAAGGTCTACCAATATCTCAACTCCAAAAAATATTGAAAGAAAAGGGTCTATCTACTATATACATACTCGTATAAAAGAAAAATCGATTTGATAGAACGTTTGTTAGCTAAATTTTTGGAAAAGTCTGACAAATCTGAATCAAGTGAAGACAGTTTTAAAGATACATTAAGCGCAGTTATTGAAAAAAAGATAAAGAAAATAAAAGTTAAGAAGAAAATAAAGGTCAAGATAATTTAAGCAAAGGCAAGGTAATTGAAAACGAAGAAAAGTTAAAACCACCAATCATAAGTGTAATTTTTAATGATGTAATTGATTCGTTAGAAACATTTTCTGAAGAAAAAAGAAAAATTGTGAAATTTGGATTACAAAATTCGAAGAGATAGCAAATATGTGTTCGTGGAATGCTACAAGGCTTTTATCAGGTGCAGCTAAACTGGCAATAGAATTCAGCACAGATATTGCAACTTAGGCTAAGTTGAAGCTGCTAATGATAATAGAAGTTTTTAGCAAAATTAATTTAGAAATTAACCTAAATTTCCCCGTTGGCAAGGAGGTGCCTGCTGTTTTAAATGCGTTTGGAAATATTTCTCCAAATTGTCCAAATTGTTCAAGTAATATTAAACAAGTAATTGGTAAAGTTAATCGAATTTATAAATATCATAAGCATATTGAAGTTAATGTTGAAGATCATTTAATGCATGGATTCGTGGATAATGGAAGCGATGTTTCGTTAATGAAGAAATCAATTATGAATAGATTTACCTGATATTTGAAGGATTTCGGAGGTGAAAGCAAGAAGACATTGGGATCATTGGTTAATAATTAAATCTGGTTCCATTACAATTGTGACAAATGATACTAACGAAAAAATTAACATCAGTGAAAAAAATATTTGTGCTATAGTAGTGGAAGATATTCAAAATAAAGATGAAAACAGCCTACATGAAGTAGAAAATCAAGTAATGAGAGGAAAATTTTACAATGTAATAAAAAACGACAAAACTGATAATGTAAAAGAACCGTGTATTAAAATGAGGATATGTCTGACTGACGAAACACCAATTTATCAGAGTTTAGCAGTTAAAGGAAGAGAAGTGGTAACGCAATAAGTTGAGGAATGATTACAACAAAATACAATGAGACACATCAATTATAGAAAAATAATTGAAAAAATATTAAGAGATCGTTATCCACTACCAAATGTGGAAGAAGCATTAGAAAAACTTTATGATTGAACGGCTTTCTCAATATTCGATTTAAAAAAAAAGGCTTCTTCGACGTAGACACTAAAGAGACCAGTCGAAAATATATACATCCTTTGTTATTCCTGAGAGCCAATACAATTGCTCAAGGCACCATATGGCCTTTGAAATTTCCTGATTATTTCTAGTAAAGGTGAAAAAAATAATTTGGACAAGTTAAGTGTTAAGTTTTAGTTCTAGTAAAAAGTCATGGCTTGATCAAAAAAATGGTCAAAATGCAAGTTTATGAAAAGAGGCGTAGAATTTCTCGGACATATTATTTTAAGCGGTAGTACGAAACCTTCAAACGGAAAGTTTAAGAATTTTGTAGAAAATGTTTTACAGTTAAGTATTTTGTAGAGCCTTTAAATAATAAGCAACTTCAAACTTTCCTAGGTTTAACCAGTTTTTTTAGAAAGTTAATTTCTCACTATTCGGGCATTGCACGCTCTTTGGCCATTTTTCTGAAAATAGACGTAAAATTTCGTTTCAGTTATGAACAATCACAAGCATTTATCAAATTAAAGAAACTATTATGTGAAGTTATTTAATCCTTCCTTCGAAACCCAGCCCCACACTGATGCCAGTTCCTGTAGTTGCAGTGCAGTTTTACTGTAAAAACATGAAGCTAAGCTCCATATAGTATTTTATCTAAGTTTTAAATCAACTCCAATGGAATGAAATTATACACCAATTACGAACACGAAGTATTAGCAGTAGTAAAAATCGAGAAATTGATAATTTATCTTTTGGTTTTACACTTTAAAATTTATACAGACTGTAAGGCTTTCCAGTGTACCATGAAGAAAAAAGACTTGTGTCCTTAAGTAGCCAGATGGACTATGCACTTACAAGAATTTAATTGTGAAGTATTACACAGATCAGATAAAAGCATGTTGCATGTAGATGCGCTAAGTCATTTTCCTTCAGTTATACAGATTGACAATGGTATTTTACATCGTTTTAAGAAAAGCCAAGAAAATGATGATTATTGCAAATTAGTATTAACAATTTTAAAAGCAAGGACTTATGAAAATTTCGAAACACGTAGTGGCGTTCTATATAAGTTAATTGAAGTAGATTATATTTTAGTAGTGCGTAAAGCTTTGCAGTCAGAAATAATTCGCACAATTCATGGAAGGGGTCATATTAATAGCAAACAAATAGAAGTAATTGTTAAGAGAGAGCTTTTCATACCAAATTTGCAGTCGAAAGTTCACAAAGTTTTAAGTAATTGTATCTCGGCATTTTATCATCAAATAAGAAATTTAAAGTGGACGGTTTTCCTAGCCCGATAGAAAAATCCAGGGTACCCTTACATATTTACCACGTCGACCATTTGTGGCCATTACCATCTACAGCTAAGAATTATAAGTACTTATTTATTTTTTGTTATGGGCGCTTTTATTATGTTTTCTTACTAACTTTCAGTTAGTTTGAAGTCATTTAAAAGTTGGAGTTATAGCAAGAAATATTCGTAATCCATTTCGCAATATAAGCGATAGAGTAACGTCTAATTCTTTTGAGGAATATTGTCAAACCAGCTCTATACATAATACGCTGATTATTACTGGCATACCGAGAGGTAACGATCAAGTCGAGCGCTTAAATCGAAAAATGATATCTGTTTTAACCAAATTTTCCCTTGAAGACCCTCTAAAATGGTACAAACGCGTTCCAAAGTTACTACGTAATTAATATTCGACTCTACATCGAACTATTAATAAAACACCATTTGAAGTTATGTTTGGCGTACCTACGAAAAGCCCTTAAGGTTCAAATTTGACCAACTTACTCATAGAAGCTATGGTAGAACAAAATAAAACAGAGAGGTATTAACAAAAATTACAAGTAAATCAAAAAATTCATGAGATTTCAAAATAACAAAATTTCAAAATATTATAACAGAAAACACAAAAAAGGACGTAAATATCAGATTGGTGAATTTGTTACAATTCACCGCACGCAATTCGGTGTTGTTATAAAGCTCCAGCCGAATTTTTGAATCCGTATGAAGTGACCAGTGTTAATAAGAATTGTCGATACGAAGTAGCTAAGATTAGGGATTATGAGGGTCCAAATAAAACAAAAATGTCAGTCGATGGCATG